ACTTAGAGACAAGTTGATGATGCTGGGGGAGGATGCTGTGAGATAGAAGCAAGGTGAGGCTGGCAGAGTGCGACTTGAAGAAATTAAGAGTTGTTTAATTAACTTTTTTTCCCCTACGCCTCAGTGCGCCAGTCTGGCACCCTCAGAGTGGGAGAGAAGGCAATCCCAACGGTTTAACAAAGCATCATAATCCAGAGGTGAGCTGACCAGGTATGACGATTCACAGAATTTCTCCCACATCGACGGCCACTTTATTCAACAAACACAATGGGTACCATTATCCTTCAGTCTCCCTGTATTATCCATGGCTGGCAAAATCAACATAATGTTAAAAATTAGCACTTGGAGTATTATTCATATATATACACTTATAATTAGAACCGTAAAATATTAAAGGCAATAACTTTGCTGTTAAACTGTTTTTATGTTAAGTTTTAGCAATTTGTCTGGATTGATCTGCAACTACAAATATCTTAAATACATATTTACTGTGTCGTAGTAGTTTTATAACCTGCGAATAATTGTCTTTTGGAAAGCACCACGATTGAGGCAGAGAAATAAATTAGGTCACACCTCTGACCGCTCCCTGGTTCACTGCCCTGCTCCCATTGACCAAACCTACATCTATGCAGCTGCTCCCACCCCCCCCAAACCACACACTCAGGCTGCACTACAGCATCCTCTGCTTGTCCTGCCACTGCTGCGGCCTGGTGGGAGGTCTAATTGGAGCAGATTGAGCTGCTGTCCTGTAACATATGGCTCACGGCCCTGACAGCGGAAAACAAAGGAGGGTCCTGGCCCCATCAAAGACTCACCAGATGGGATGGACATACACAAACAAAAGTACACACACACCCCCTCGAAGCTCCACCTTACGGTTGAGGTTGAATTTAAAACATGAGGTCAAAATGCACCATGGGGCTGTGGATCTTTCTACCGACCTTCCTTATGGACAATAACTAAACAGAATAAAAATATGTCAAATTGGAATTTGGTTAAAACATTAAAAAAATTGTTAAACCAATTTCAGATTCGACAAGATTTTAAATTCAAGCAATATTTGTTGTTGTGGCTACCTCATTGTTACTAATAAAGAAAACAAAGTCATTCCATGAACATCTAGCTTGTCTGATCCCAATTCCCCTTGTTAAATAGACAATTCATTTTGGCTCAGCTCTGTTAGAGTGAAGTGACTAAGTGAATAAGAAACCAGGCATTTCAACCCTTCAAATTCAGTTAGGAAAACCATGAAGCTATTTCAAATTCATCTTTCAGATCTGTGGTATTAGACAAGCGACTGAACCCTTTAGTTTCACACAATATCAGCTCATTTTTTGCGACAGAGTTGAACTTTTTCTCCTGCTCATTGTCCGTGACAAGCGAGTAACTGTCTGCACACTAATTGAGTAAGTGAAGTGGGGATCAGAGCAGAGGACAAAATGCAACAGAGCATCACAGCAGAACTGTGACAATCACATTAGAAACACACAATTTACAACTTGCTAATTAACAAATAATCTATAAAAATCCAAATACTGCAATTGCAAAACTGTTCCAATGGCCCACAGATGTCAACTTCTTCTACAATGCAGCAATATCAAAGAAAGTACTGGTGCATGAATTGTAACGGAGCGCCGTTTATCACAGTGTATTGCACAAGATAATGCACACATATCAATGAAAGTCATACAGTGAGTGTATAGGCCTACCGCCATTGCGCCTGCGTAGCAAAATCACTGATATCGCAAGTGCAGCTGCTTTAGAAGTTACTGTTTTCTTAAAGATTTGCCTCTGTTTTGCTTCCAGCTTCGGAAGAGGTATTAATGTCAGGTTTTCTCATGAATTCATCTTTCATCCAAAAATTACTCTCTTTGGGATGTCTGAGGGTGAGGTGAGAAAGAGGTGTATTTAGAAATAGGTATTAGCTGCAAAGTCGTGCAATTCTGCATCTACTGGAAGGATAAAAAGGACCCACTTGGAAACAGAGGAGGAATAATGGTGGTGGACGCAACACATCACAAACGTTTGGCACCCCTTCATTTCATGCCTGCAGGGACTTTTTAGCAGATGATGGTATATACAGCAAGGCAGTAACAATTACTCTTCCCCTGCTTAGGCACTATTTGCAATTTTATATAAACAATGGCAAAATACCACCATCAACTACATCAGATATAGGTACAACAATCTATGTAAATTTCTTTTTTTTTCCTGCCATTGAGTTGACATACTTCTTACATCACAAAAGAAACCACCTACGCCATAAAAGTCCAGGTTTCTTGTGGCTAAATTCCCTCTTACCAACCACGCAACCACAATGCATTTCAGCTAGACGATATGTCAAACCGAAACTGCACGTGGGTGTATCTCTTCTGCCTTACCACCTTTCAACAATACGTGCAACTTTCTGAAACAGACAATCCGATACACTTCACGCAACATTTGACCAGGTGTGCGCAGGTGAGATTCAAACTTCTTCACAGACAAATTTCTGCCACTTTGTGTGTATACAACTGCACCATCATACGTCTTTGAGGAAAGACTGTGCCTCATGTTCCCCATTACTCACTGAACCCCACGGTGTCGCCTCTTAACTGCACCTGGTCCCCTATAAGTGACAGGTGATAATAACATATTTTTGTGGGGCTTTACTGTAAGATAACCAATAACATAAAATTCGAACAACCCTCTGGCTTATTTGTTTAGCGTACCAGCCTATGCGTGTCGCTTTAAAATGACATAAACCGTATGCCAATATCCATTTCAGCTTGTTGCTAAATTAACTCACTCAGGATTGCGCCCTCAGGACACAATCCTTCGCTTTATCACCCATCCTATAACGTAGCCTGATGGAACTTTGCGCCACAATGCTGCACGTTATTTCTTTCTTTGTATCCTTATATTGATGGACCAACTTATAGTGCCGAGGCTTCTGCTCACAGCCCAATCCCTTTTTGATATACCACGAACAAAACGTGTTGGCATGTGTTCACACACTTATGTTTTGAACTTAACGTAATCTATAATCTTCTTGAGAGTGTCACAACATAATTTTGAAGCCTTTGTAATTGAATAACAATTTAATGGTCAAAAAGGTTTAGATTTTTTAGTTAGTAAAGTATTAGAGCATCATCCAACGACATCTTCACCGGCAAGTGGACCTTGAGTTGGATTGTTGTGTCATACTCGTACAAACCTTCAGTCTTGGACATTTTTCCAAATATTTTCTCACATAATTTCTACCTCTCTTCCTGTCATGTTTCTCTCTCTCTCTCTCTCTCCTCTGCTGTCCATCCATATGTCAGAAAGAAGGGATGAATGGAGGTACTGAGCAGAGGAGAGAGGAAGGACATTTTAAATGCAGTCATGCAGATGAAAGGAAGACTAAAGAAAGCAAGTCAGAGAAAAGGAGAGTTAATGATTCATGTTGTCATTCGTGTGACCGCACTGAGACAGCCTCTGCCTGACGATGCATTCACTAGATCACTCCATCCGCTCATTTCATCCGGATGAGTGAACTTATACTGCTCCCCTGCCCTTTCCTGCTTTCCAACTCCCTCCCTCCTTTAAAAAAAAAGAAAAAAAAAGCAAAGGACAGTGGGGAGAAATGAGGAAGATGCTGAGTGACAAGACCGCCAAGGTTTAGAGAATATGATGATTAGGTCACATTCTGGAAAAATGCTCCTGCTGTGCCACCAATAATTTCATTTGCACCAGTGCGCGCGCGCGCGCACACACACACACACACACACACACACACACACACACACACACACACACACACACACACACACACACACACCTCCACCCCCCTACCCCACACACACACAAACAGAGCAATGAGTCTAGAATTCACAATTATTCATCAAATAACAAGGACACAGACATTTCTGCAGAGGTGCAAAGAGGACACGAGTGAATGATGACTGCAGAAAAGACAGATCTGGTACAGTGAGTGAGTGAATGTATGAACGAGTGAATGTGCGGAGGTAACTTTCTAAAGCCAAAACACCAAAGCACTGTGTTGTCTTTTCCAGAGCCGCCAAGGAATAATGGATATTTCCAATATAAGCTGGTCTATTTTTGATTGGCAGAGCTGATTGAATTCCATTTAGAGCCGCTGTCATTCTGTCCTCATTTCAAACTGGCAGATCTCCCTCAGCGGGTAATCACGCTCTTTCAAAACTGTTTGATGAAAGTAATTTGGCCAGATCATTCAGGATAACGTCTCATAAAGCAATCTATTAGCCCACACAGCTCAAAGCACAAACACTGCATAAATATGTTTCACTGGAATCGGCTAAAGACAGACTGTGTGTCGATGAGTAAAAACACTGGCTTAATAACACAATACAACAGATAATAATTATCCTGGCTCTGGTTAATAAGCTTTAGAAATTTTGCAATAACCAGCAAGTGGCCAATGAACCTGTCAATTGTAACACACAACACGTGTTCAATTGTGAATGAAAAGTAGTTTGGAAGGCGAGCAAATGAGTTGAAATTGAGCTAAAAGTAATGGATAAATGTTTGAAGCATTGAGCTTAAAGGTTGTCAATATGAAATTCAGTGCAGTGATCAGTGGTAACCGTTATGAGCGCAGTGCAGAGCACCAGCGATTAGCTAGCTAGTGGGACAATAAATAAAGATTTACTTGAACTAACATGTACACAGGTATCTATGTAAACAAAGCACAGAGAAGCTCTGATTACACACAAAACACTACACTAGCCTATATCTTTAGATACAAGTTGTTTGCTGCTGTATTAATGATCTGAATATCATATTGAGAAGCTTCGAAATAATGGAGAAATTGTTCAAATATCTATAATGGATAAACAGTTGAAAAAGTTAGATAAAAGTAAAAAAACGACAACGTTGAAATAGTCCCAGTCCCTTAAACTCATATGAGTCCAATTAATTCTGTGCTGCTGGCATCAAATGGATATTACACATTTGCACAAACATATAGACACTGGTTTAATATAGCAGATTGCAACCTTCATCACCTGGAGATCTGAAGGTCCAGGCCTCGTCGTCATCGAAGTGTGTATCCCCAGCTGTGAACCTCTCTCCGGGGAAAAATGCATGCGCCACCGTGCCCCCTGGCCCGTCAAAGGGATATCCATCGTCGTGGTCGGCCTTAGTGAAGTCGATCTGAATGTCTGCATCGCTGCCGGCCACTTCATGGAAGTTGAGCGGTGCGATGTCACTCCAGACCTTCAGGGCGTAGTACATCAGGGCCCGGACAGTGTCCCTGCCCAGTACGGCCGAATCCTTAGGGAAGGTCCTCACTCTGAGAGAAAAAAGGGGGAGGAGACAGATATGTTACATAAGGGAAGAAGAGACAAGATGGGGTGAGGAAGAGGACAGGAAGGACACGGGGGAGTTGAGATGACAAGAAAGGAGAGGAGATGGTGGCTGATGAAGGAAGAGGATGGGTGACTTGACAAAAGAACAAAGTAAAAGTGGAGACAAGAGGAGAGAGCTGGGCAAAGTGAGAGGATAAAAGGTGATGATGGACAAGAAACAAGAGGGGAAGAAAAAGAAACGTTAAGGAGGAAAGGGTAAGGGAGTCAAAATCCATGGCAGGAGACAGGAGAATAAGATGTCAAGTGTAAGGGTGACACATCAGAGATGAACATAAAGTTGGGGAAGGGACACAAAAGGAAAATGTGTAAGAAAGAGGGAGCTGAGCACAGGAGAAAGAAAGAAGTGGAAAAATTAAGCAGGTTGCAGCAGTAGACACTGGCAGGGGAAGAACAGGATGGAGAGATAGTTCTGAATTGTAGAAAAAGGTCAACTAGGCAATGTTTGCCACTGGGACAGAACTGCACAGAAACAAAAGAATGATGTTTGCATGAAGTGATTCCGTTGTTTTTTGTATTTCATGGTTAGGTGCTCCCGCTGCTCACAGATACTGATAATAAATAGGGAATACAATGTGCATTGAAATAGATTCTAGCTAGATTTCCCTTTTCCTTCCTCTTATCCCACTAAGCATCTCTCACGCTATTCTGTCGTGTCAGTGACAATAGAAACAGGACAAGAATAAACAGAAAATCATCCACACGTTTGTTTACCCTTTCTCCCTCTAAATCTCCTCCACTCCATCGTTCCCCGTCTTCGCTCTCCTCCAGTCTCAGCCTCTCCCTACTCCCCTGCCCTCAACGTTTTATTCTCCCCACAAAAGCCCTCTGTGTAAATACAAGAAGCGATTTGGCCACTGCAGGCTGCTCTAGGACATTCAATCAAGGCTCTTGGCATTGAGAGAGTGCCGCCTCATCTTGCCACTATCTGAGAAATTGCAAAGTTTTGTATTGATGGAGCATCATCTTTAATTCAAAAATCAAATCAATAGAGTCACAACATTGAAACATTTGCATCACCGATTGCTGCGATTCATCAAAAAACAAAAAACACTGATGGTAATTTATCGTACAGAAAACGTGTTTAACATTTCGCAGGTGTTCAAGGTTATTCTGGGAGCACGTCATGCTCGGGTGCACTTTTGGACAGCTTGATTTTATCAACAATCTTGACCTTTTTTTTCAAGTGTCGTGTCGTGTCTTGCATCAAATGAGGCAAAACTGTCCTTCAATGGAAAAAAAAAAGCAGAAAAAAAGAGCAGAAACATGAATATTGATTCACATATTGATTGTAATAGACAGACCTGAGAAATAGTTTAATACTACAAGGTAAGATGTCTCACACATATCGACTGAATTCCACAAGCATAAACAGAAGATATTCGTCTCTGAAAGTGTGAAATGAAAACATACTGCCAATCGTTTCCTGCATGTAGCTGCATCAAAACACAAACCAAACCACCCGCATATCTCATATATGCTGCAATTTGCATGGAAGAGGTCAGAAAATGGTAAATGTAGGTGAAATGGTGAATACAGGTACTGTATGTGCAGTTAGCAACAAGGACTGTAAACTCTGCAGGTGAGTGCACTTTCCAGTATCTGTAAATAAACCGGCTTATACATTCATTGTCTGAAGGGATACACAGATTTGGATTGTGGATTTTTTCAAGTATATATATTTTTGGCGCTTTGAGCACAATAAGCCGAGTGTCGAATAATCCCATTATATTCAAGAGAAAGCGGACATCTCTACGACCAATACCTCTAAAACTAGGCAACTCACGCCAAAACAACATAGAATGGTAAATGGCACTACAGGTAAGAGGAATAATATGTATTTTTGATTTTGGGGTAAACTGTCCCTTTTAACACACATTACATTGATGCTGCACACCTCAGAATGGTATCCAACACCTCTGTTTTCAGGAAATGGGCCCTGCTGTTGTGTGGGAAATTACTCGCACTGTGCAGAACGACATCAGATCAGTGGTTGCATATGTGGCATAATGGAAAAAGGCTAATTATTGACTGGCATCTTAATTAGAACAATGTGAGTTTGTTTGGCTGGATGTTAAACGGATACACTGCTTGCTCTTCTGCTGTATTTCTGACAAAGTATAGCTGCTTAAGGAATGCTTACTAGGCATATATCTTCATGATTTTAACCTTCAACTCAAAATCACGGTGTAATCGTTGTAATGTCTGCGCACCTCTCCCCTTTACGGAGAATATCCAAATTCCACTCAACGACATTAATACCACATAACAAAAAAATCAAGCTGCGCCCGCTATGGAACTTGTCATACTCAAGACTGTGCCAATCTAAATATGTGGGTCACAAATAGGTGACGGCAGTTCTGTCACTACAGACAATCTTGTTTCATAAAAAGCCCTCTGTCATCCCCATTCCTTCTTTTATTGAAGCTGGCAACTTGAAAGCTGAGTTCCTGTCAAACAAATCATTTGTTTGACACTTGTTTCAATTCATGCACACATCCTTCATGATTAAGGACTTTTTTTTCTGGAGGACTTGGCGAATCATTCCTCTGACTGAAGCTTCTCTCCCACAGTTTTCTTTTGCTCATTTACCAGCCTAGGATCTCTGGTCATGGTGTAGGTACAGCAGCGGTTCATAATGATACTTTCAATGGCTCATTTATCCTTTTTGGATTCTTTATCTTAACCGATTAAAACTCTTTGTTCTGGCATTCTCAAAAAAACATTAAACACATATGTATTCAATACATTAGATTAAAAAAAACCCACTAATGTCTACTCGCCATTTCAAGCATTTCCCAGTTTGTGATTCAGGCTCATTGAATCTGTTAATGACTATGTTTGAAAACCAAAGAGTCTGAAGTGCTCTTAGCTTGGTGAAATATAAGGACAGACAGACTGTTTGTCCAGTACTCCGATCACTGGGACTAGCTCTACATACTTGTCCTCACCTTGACAGCTCATCACAGGGGTTTGAAAGGAGACGCTTACACTCCAAAGACAACCCACTTACGTATAAGCAGTAGTTCAAGTTGAGGCTGAATGGCTGAGTGTACGACAATGTGTGTCAGACAGAAACAGAGTGCAATGCTGCTGCAAGTTTGTGAGTGCTTCTAAATGTACGTGTGCATGAGAGACTCAACATAGGTGAGCAAGAAACAATTTTAAGATTGTGGCGTTAGTCTTCTTTTCATTCATTTCACTTGGTGACACTATTATATGTCAGGCGAACACACTGTACATGTCCAATTTTGCAGAGAAACAGAAGGAGAGAATAAACTGGATGATGCAGGTAAGACGAAGACAATGAGGAAGAAAAGGGAAAGATATGAGGGAGAGTGAGCAAAAGAGGGACGAAAGAGCAGACACACAGAGACTCTCCTTCAGCAGGAATATTTCTGACATCTCCCCATGGCTTTATCTTCCACAGTTCTAACTTTAGTCAGAATCAGAGTTTGTTCTCCACGAGAATGACGAGTTCCTTAAGTTTCAGCATTTCTCCAGGCTACTACACTCGGAGGGATCAGTGATCACACAGACACATTTCCATCTCTGACAGAGTATGTGATGTCTCCTTTTCCTTACCCGCAAAAAAAATGTACCTCATTACAAAAGCTCTTTACAAGTGTTCCAGATGTGTACGGCAGTACAGGAGTGTGCGCATGAGAGAGAGGGAGAGAAACAGAGAGAGAGATGGCGGTTATAAATGGGTGTAAGTGGGGGAGGGCATATAAATCTGTGGTTTAAAAGAATGAAACTTTATGCAAGCTCTTTCCTCCATAGGCAGTTATATCAAATTACAGTAGCGAATTACACATTATCATAAATAGATCATCATGCCTTCCATGATAAATGGTATTTGTAAAACAGGAATGAGAAATACCCTGTTCATTTCTGCAATATAAATGGCTTCATCCCACCAACTATTACATTCACAATCACTGGTAGAGAACCTGCCAATGAAAAATAATGCATTCTCATTGTTAAACAAATATCTTGTCTTGTATCTAAACCAATGTCCTTTTATTGAGGTCCAATTTTTGTGTCTTTTGTTATCAGGGTTTTATAATACACATTGTCAACGGTAAATCAAAACATGAATTAATTTTTAGCGACAACATTGTAGAGAAGGACATGGGCCTGTATGTAGCCTGAGAGGTGAATCCCAGGGCAGGAAACAGTCCGAAAGCACTTGCTGCTGCTGCTGCTGCTGCTGCTTCATGCTAGTTTGTTGTTGAGAGTACTTCTTTCAAATGGATACTAGTGGCTGGGCAGTGAGAGGACACCGTTCAGAACTATTCTAGTGAGTCATTGAAAGTATAACAGGGGTGCCACGGGTCACCATTGAAAACTTTACCCTGTGGGCACACAAGAACATCAATAATGGATGATTCTGCAAAACCAACAACACTGTTTTAAAAATACTTACTTTCGGAAATATCTGTGATTGGCTGCTATGGTTAAGGTCAGAGAAAGTTTGTGGTTGTGGAAAAGTAAACTGTGGTTGAGGTAAGGGTAGGGTTTGGCAACTAAAAAACTTTGGCAAAGGTTAGGGGAAGATCTCGGTTACGGTTATGAAAAAAGCAAACTATAATTGCATATGTGCCCATCCACCATCCCAAACCTGCAATTTGATGGGATACTGGGCTAGGAAATTACAACCTTGCATTAATATGTCTATGAAAGAACCCTGCACAATTGCCACGGCTGGAGGCGCTTTTCCATACTCTACAATTGAGAGATGATGATCAGCATGTTTTGTATTTACCATGAACTCAGCAGTACACTTTGCTGACTGACGTGCTTTCCAAGTTTTCCCCCCCCCCCCCGATTACAAACAACCTTCCACACACACACAATCAGCAAAAATGACTGTGGTTAAAACATTATTTCAGGTAACACAAACGGCGAGAAAAGTTCCAGATTT